TGCGTGCCGCTGAAACGCCGTTGAAACGCCGTTGAAACGTATACATGGACCCCGACATACAAGCGAATTTAATACGTCATGAAAGCATCTAAATTCGCATCGCCTATGAAAGCCGGCCTCCTCTCGCGAGTCTCTTTCAACGAATTTTTCGACTCTCGCTTTTTGCCGCCGTTGTTCCTTTTTACACCGTCGCCTAAACTAAATTTTAGCTGCATCACTCTGCGAGTGCAGCACTTTCATAATTTTAATAAATTTTTAATTAGTCTCGCAAACTTTACGAATGCAATGTATCTATCGTAGCACTGACTACTGCATGATTAATATATGCTTAAAAATGAGTGCGAATATTTAAATATTTCGATATATTCGTTCTATTGCGATTCACTGTATATGTTATAATAAAGTATAATTTTATTATATTACGAAATAGAATTCAAATAAAATTCCGTTGTACCTTTTATGGTATAGATTTTTATCTTTCGTTGCATCATTAGTAGAATTCTATAAAATTATTATCCAACTCCTATACGTAATAAAGGATTAAATAGGAATACTAGAAACGAGTAAGACAGCAAAATTGCACATTTTATAGTGGGAGTTTGCTGCTGCCATACCATATACCGTTGGGAAAGAGCGTACATTTTGCAAATATACTTATCCGGCTTATAATTTATGCTCCGCAATATTTTTCGGCTGCGTAATTCTCGGCTGCTGCATCGCGAGTAATACGCGCGGCTATTTAGTAGTCGGATATATGGAGACGTGAACACGCAAAACCCGCCAGTTAAATACGTATCATGGTTGAAAAATAAAAAATCTTTAATACCGGGATATATCCAGAGGTACGACAGCGCGTGTTGCATTCGAACATTACGACGAAACGACGAAACGATCTAGCGTTTTACATACCGTTAATATCGTTAATTATCGTGTAATTCAGCTTTATCAATTATGTTTAGATTTCGCCTGATCGTCACTCTAAATTATGTTTTAATGAAATTAAAAATAGGACTCGGGTTTCTTTATGTCTTTAATATCATAAATGTATCGAAATCGTCATTACCTAAATGATAGAAGAAAAAAACAATAATGTGTAAGATCAACAATGTAAATAAATAATGAAAATTTAATTGTACCGAGCAAATTAAAATTCGTTAAACGCTTGATATAAATCATGATTATATGTAGATTCCAGGCAGATAGCTGCAAAGAATTTGAATGATTTGAACTAGTTTCGTAGTGACATCTGTATGACGTATTTGTTAGGTCTCTTTATACTGAGAAGATAAGACGGATCGCTGACTTACCATTATCTGCAAGCGTTGTGCAGGTGCATTTCGCTTTCCAACTTTTATTCTACAGAAAACTCGTTGTTTTTTATCGATAAATATTATACGTATACTGAGAAAAAAACGTACTAAATTTTAATAAATAATTTTTTAATAGTACTGATATAACATTTATTTGTAGAAAATAAATATTTGCTAATTAAAAAATAATAATAGTTCAACAAATCAAATTTATTGTTCTTGTATATGTTTACATTTAATAAATGTTCAACTAGAACTATTCAAACAAATATTTATTAAAATTTAGTACATTTTTCTCTTAGTGTACTAATAAGGTAAAATGAAATTTTTGTATAGCACTTTAATTAATGATTGTAAATATGGTATTGTTGTCTACAGGCTAACACCATGTCCATCGTACTAAAAATGATTAATGTCGCAAGTACATGCAATGTATTAAGTATTTATAAATCTTTTTTGGACAGCCTTCCTTTTAAGTCCGCGTCGTTTCGACGATCTTCGATCCGTCAAATTACGATAGTTGTACACACAATGTGTTTTTAATTCCCGGATTTGTTCCTCTAAATTAGTTAGTATGGAAGTCAGCTTCGTATCGTCAGTTTCTATGTTTTTATCCGCCAGACTAAAAAATAATACGGCGCTACGTTAGATAGTTTCAATTTCCGTTACTGTAAATACAGAAAAATGTATTTGGCACAAATTGTATAATTCGTACTTATTGTTCTTGGTGGCTAACAAAAATAAGGCTTCTATTAGATCGATGGGAATCTTAGGAGGCGCCTCCGTAAAATGACTCATATGATGGAAATAATTTTCACGAGAGACCAGCGTAATTTTTGTGGAAATATCGCATCTCGAGTGCAACAGCATTCTTAAACGGGGATGTAGCCAATTGCTACGAAAGATTCGATGTGACGTCACCCTTTCTAAATGTGCGACAAACTCCGCTTGCTTCAATAATCGACGTATGTGACCCTAATACGACAATATTAATTCCGATGCTGATTAATCCTGACTAATCTGCATATCTATTATACATGCATAGCTTAACTTTTAGCAATTAAGAGGATATCTATATTGAACGGAATGAGATCCGGTTTTATTTCTGAATATTTATATATCATACCTACCTCCTTTTCGAGACCTTGAATATCGTTGACCGCCAGACCGATCATGAGATTAATCAGAACGATACTGGCGAGCATGATGAAGACGACAAACACGATTCTGCTTGTTACCGATAGAAAATTGCTCTCGAATAGCTCATTATACTCGTACTCGCCCATCATCATTACCACAGTTTTTACGATGGCTCTCCAGAAATCGTCAAATTGATTGTTTTCGTGAAATAACACAGCAAAACTCAACGCAAATCCAACAATCAAGTAACCAAACGCCAGGAGAACCTAAAAAGTAATAAAAAGTTAAATGTATATCGTTATAATAGCAAAAGTGGTGCGAAAAATAAATTTTGATGTGATATCTATTGACACTATTTTTAAAGTTCGGATTTATTTGTCTGATTATATTCATATGCTCACATATGTAGTTAAAAAAACGTCTATTAAGCTGGCACAGCCACTTCAACACAATCAAACGCGACCTATACCACATTTTTTTGCTATTTTTTTGCTAATTTTTTGCT